TAAGGTTTGTCATGTCAACAAAACGTTACTACTTCAGCATGCCAGTGTGTTGGACAGTAAACCCACAACATTTCAAATTTGAGTACCCTGATGTTTAGCTGCCGTTGCAGTTAAAATTTCAATTGCGATTTTATACAGCGTCTAAATGCAAACGCATCTTAATTTGCCGAACAAACACAGAGGGACATGGGCTTCCTATGGAAAAGGTGCGTCCTTATATATTTATTCTGTATGGTGAAAGACTGTCGTGGGCAGGAGAAGAGACAAAAAGGTTTTGAGGCCTGGATTCGAACGTAGATGAGGCAACCACAGCACGGACGGCCGGGGGAACCAGCCCGTACACGCAGCAGAGGAGAAGGAGCGACCTCCCAGTTCGCATAACTTCATGCAATACACAGTGACCGCCCTCTGCCAGTCCGGTAATTACTCAACTGAACGAGCCATTTGTGAAATGCGTTGCGCTAACCTAAAAGACCGCAGCGGCGGTGCACATATTAAATTTATGAAATTATAGTTTTCTGGCACAGGTATATTTAATTATTTCTATGCAACTTAACTTTTGTTGTGAGTGCCTTATGCTGCAGAATTAAAGTCGGTGCTTTAATACCCTCAAGACGTCTGTCCTGGCAGAGAATGCTTATTAAGCGGTTGTGAAATTTTGTCATAAATTACTATGCATTAGATATCACTGCATTTAATTACATTCACAGCGCTTGATCAATCCGCTGCCTAGACTTATCCCCACGTCCTGTCAATTGTTGGAGCACCAACGTTTCGGGAAAACAGCCCTGTTTCCGCCATTAACATGGCAGCTAAACTAAAGTCACTCTTTTTTATTTCACCAGGTAAGGCCAATTGAGCGGTCTAGTTCTTTTTTTGGGAGCGACCTTGCCACACGTGACAGCTCAACTAAGTGACCTATCACGTGGACATTTACAGCAGCTAAATACTCTGAACTGTTAAGTCTTCCTTACAATAATATCCCGAAGCAGACGATAAGTGCTGGATGCAACCACATTTGCAAATGATTACAGCCAATTCCCACCATAGCCTCGTTAGAACTGAACGGTGTACTTGCTACACTCGGAGCAGATGACACCCTCCACGCTTTGTCTGTTAGAAATGGCTCATTGTCAGGACATGCTCAGAATGTCTGCAGGTGAGTGAGTGGTGCCCTAAAGACACTTGCAAGCGCTCCATTATTGTCGCAGGAAAACAATTGACTCTCTTGTGAGTGGCGGTGGAGAGAGCCAAGTGCATTGCTGTGTCTGTGCAGAGCTGCGGTGCACGCTCATATAGCTGGGTAAAATGTAAAATGCACCGTGGCAGCGTTGTCTGCGAAGCAAAGGGCAAGCTGAGAGATTGTTTTTCAAGGCGTGCCGTGACATTGGTTTTTTTTTAGTCTACGTCTATAGAGAGATTGAACTGGCTTTGAGAACCTGGCAGGATTAATTGAAATTAAGTGATGGTTCTCTGCATGTTTCCCTAAGAGGAGGATTTGTGTTTGTGGTCAGAAATAAATCGAATTTCAGGACATTTTTTTGAAACTAATCTCGTTTGGCCATCAAGCTAAGCCTGTCTCGGCCTAGGAATTGCACCAAACTGCAAAAATGTGAATGCGAGGGTGGGTATTGCATTTGCCAGGAGCTTGACAAATGGACATTGGCTTCGGACCTATGTGAAATAGATCTACGTGTTTGGTAAACAAACGGATTCTCCCGGAGAGCACCATTCGTTTTTCCCCACCCCTGTTGTGCTACCTGCTCTTGCCGAGATGGCTATAAAGGCCATGCGCCGACGTGCTTTGTCATCTTGAAGATGGATGCCCGCTCTTATTTATGGCTCCGGTAACGCGTTGTTTGGAAAATGTACGGCCGAAGTTTTTGGCGGCACGGGCTGTTACCCAGCTACGTGCAACTTTGCTCCGTTACTTGTTGGGAACCGCGATGACGGGAAGGGGCTTGGCAGCGGTGATCGATGTGACGAGCCCGAAATAGTCACCCGATTTTGCGACCATTTCGGCGATCCCATTCCCACGTTTCGCGAAACGTGCAAATTATTGTCGACAGCGCGGCACTGTTGCTCTTCACGCAGCGGCGGGCTTTCCGGCCGGCCTTGTGGGAAGAGCTGTCAGATGAAACGCGCGCCTTCAGTGTCGCTTACTTCGGTGCGGGGTCACCGAAGCCCATCGCCATGAATAATTTATGATGGACATGTCTGCCCTAATGCCCTGAAAAGGATGTGGCACGTGTTATTAAGCAGTCCAGAGATTCCGCTGTGTGCGCCCACGGCTGTGAATGTCAACAACCGTGGATGTTAAATGTACTTTAGTCAACTAGTTATCGGGATAATTAGCGTATTGTTATTTGAATGGTTCTTCTTCTGGGTTTTTTTTTATTTGCCAATGTTTACGTATAAAAATGTAACAATTGCGAGCATGCATCGTCACTGGTGCACAAGCACAAATAGCATATACTCCATACATTTCTCAGTAACACAGGGCTCAAGGTGAAAAATTTCTATATAATAGAAGGGCCACTGCTCAAAACGTCACCTATTTTATATTTCTTCTGTTCCTTTTCAAAGTCAACGCGATCTCCTGCTCAAACGAGCCCGAGCCGGTGGTGGAAATTCCAAAGTGAGCCGATTGGCGGGGACAAGTCTGTCCTCAAGACTAACCGCTGTTGACTTGGTGCATGACAAATGGTCCTTATTTTACGAAGTCCAGAGGGATCGTGTTTCTGAATCAAAAGCCCCAGACAAGATGTGAACTCGCAACCTTTCTATTGCGCGCCCGGCTCACTCTCCCGCCGAGCCACCACGCCGGTTATCCGGGCACTGTTATTGACAAATGTGTTTCATTTTTTTTTCTCACGTATATATGTATAACGAGCCCATGAAAGTTATTTTTCGGACATCAAGATGATTTACACAGCTGTGTTTCAAACATTTTAACCCCCCTTCTCCCCCCCCCCCAAAAAAAAACTAGCTTGCATCATACCCCACGACCAATTTCAAGGAATATTACTTTGGAAACAAGCCACTAACCCACGGTGAGCTTTTTAACTGAGCTTACTACAGAGAGGTAAATGGATTGGAGGAACATTCTGTATCCAATTATTTTAAGCACCTGGATGAGTGCAGGCCCGAGACATAAATGCATGGCTCGGCTGACTCAGACGCTGCCGCTTTCCCCTCCTGCCCAGCGACCACTTTTCGCGCCTTCAGTGCGCTTAATAATTTTATACCAGTTGCACAGTTTGGAAACGCACCAATGGGCCTACATCACTGGACCTGTCTTCTTTTTCAAAGTGTGTAGGACCGTATAGCCTCACTTGCTCACTTGGCATTTCAGCTTTGAGACTCAAATATGACAAGGTTATTTTTCATTTTTTCGGGTGTGAAATGGGATTGTAGTGACAGATCGGAGGAGGAGAGAGGGAGTGAGGACTTTGGGGGGTGGGTGGTAGGGCAGGCGGGGGCTGGTGGGCAAAGTAATTTTAACAGCCCCAGTCAAAGCTCTACACCAGCTGTCCGTATGTGTCCGTGCTGCAGTGTGGCGTCTGCGGGGGTGAGAGTTTCACACAAATGTGACGAAGGTTGAATTTTAGATAGGGCAGTATTTATTTTATGCAATGTACATCTTGCCCTTTACAGCACAGCAAGGGTTTTAAATCTGTCCATAAATAAATAAGTGTCCTTTTGTTCATAGAACGTGTTTGCGTGTGCTGTGTTTGCGTGTGCTGTGTTTGCGTGTGCTGTGTTTGCGGGTGCTGTGTATGCGTGTGCTGTGTTTGCGTGTGCTGTGTTTGCGTGTGCTGTGTTTGCGGGTGCTGTGTATGCGTGTGCTGTGTTTGCGTGTGCTGTGTTTGCGGGTGCTGTGTATGCGGGTGCTGTGTATGCGTGTGCTGTGTTTGCGTGTGCTGTGTTTGCGTGTGCTGTGTTTGCGTGTGCTGTGTTTGCGTGTGCTGTGTTTGCGGGTGCTGTGTATGCGGGTGCTGTGTATGCGTGTGCTGTGTTTGCGTGTGCTGTGTTTGCGTGTGCTGTGTTTGCGTGTGCTGTGTTTGCGTGTGCTGTGTTTGCGGGTGCTGTGTATGCGTGTGCTGTGTTTGCGTGTGCTGTGTTTGCGTGTGCTGTGTTTGCGTGTGCTGTGTTTGCGTGTGCTGTGTTTGCGTGTGCTGTGTTTGCGTGTGCTGTGTATGCGTGTGCTGTGTTTGCGTGTGCTGTGTTTGCGTGTGCTGTGTTTGCGTGTGCTGTGTTTGCGTGTGCTGTGTATGCGTGTGCTGTGTTTGCGTGTGCTGTGTTTGCGTGTGCTGTGTTTGCGTGTGCTGTGTTTGCGTGTGCTGTGTTTGCGTGTGCTGTGTTTGCGTGTGCTGTGTTTGCGTGTGCGCTGCGAGCCCAACAACCTGAGTCCGATTCACGCTCACGGTCCACACCATTGACGATTATCTGAACCAGTCCTGGGCCTCCCCTAGGTTGACACAGCCTCGAATGAGCACCTGGTGTGACATATAAACTTCACCACTCGGGAGACAAAGGCAGCCAAGCGTGGTTCTGGCGGGGGGGTGGGTGTACTTGCCCAACAGTCTGTTCAAGGCTATACGGGGGATCTTTGTGCTTGCGGGTGGTGGTGTGGTCAGTGCATTGCGCTACGATTTCGATTCCCGGTCACGGCTCACGTCAGTAGTGATTTCTCTGAACTGGTTCTGGGACCTTCCTCTACATCGAGTCTGTTAAATGAGTACCCGGTGTGGTGTGTGAACATCAGCAGCGGGATCTTGCCCCAACAGCCTTACTGTGCCGCCTGGTGAACGTGGGAGTGTGTGCCTGCAGCGTGGCTCTGATCTATTGGGACATCTGCGCAAAAGAGCTTCATAGCTCATCGGATTCCTCCAGTATGAATAAATTTTTTTATTCTGTCTCGCAGCTGTTGGAAAATGGACAACCGTCGATGACTGATCCACCCCTTTGTTCCTTCCGCCCCTTTCCTCTTCCACCAGGCCAAATGCAGAAGCCGTTTGAAGATGCGTCGTACGCCATGACAGTGGGGGAGATGAGCGGACCGGTCTTCACCGAATCCGGCGTCCACATCATCCAGCGCACGGGTTGACCGCGTCAATGACCAGGGGGCAGGTGTCTTGACTCTCGGGTTAAAATAAATAACACATCAGCTTCGTTATAATAATAACAACAACTGCCACCACCTCCACCACCGTGTTACGTGGCACGTCGTCAGTATGCTACCACTGCTTTTACATTTCAGCAAAGCGTTTGTAGTCTCGGTTTACAATACATTTTTTAAATTTTCTTTTATGTTTTACTTTTTTGTGACCGTCATTGCATGCGTTTTATTTTTTTAGCTCCCAATCTAAAAATAAGTAAAAGCAGGAAGTAGCGTTTTAGATACCCGTGCCAAAAGAGAGTCATCAGGACACTTGTTCATCTTAATTTCTTATTTTTTTACGTACATTTTTTTTTAGCGCCGCTAGTCTTAAGCAGCGGCAGCAGCAGCAGCAGCGTGCGCGCCAAAGAATTGAATGAACCACATCGGGGCCACCGTGTTTAAAGCGATGAGCGGCAGCTGGCATAACGCCGCGGCAATCATTTATATCATCCCTACCCGCCCTGCTGGCAAAAAAGAAAGCATCCCGAGATGATTTTCGCGCAACGAAAGCAGGGTCACCTCACGCGCTCGCTGTCATGCTCTTCAACGGCTTTTGTTTTGAACTGCTGCTACCCTCGCGCTATTAATGTTCAATACCATTAGGCGGCTGTTCTCTTCTAAAAAACTGAAATAGTCGTAATAATGTGTTTTTTTTAGGATTACTGTTATTATTATTGTTTCGCTGCCGTAGTTGTTTTGCACTCGCCCCCCCCCCGCCCCCCCCCAAAAAAAACCAACGCGTCGTGCTGTGGCTTGGCTTAGCGGCAGAGCAAAGATGGCAACGAAAAACCAACCGTGAAACGGGTGCTGTTGTATTTTGGTGACGCAGGCGCGTTTTTTGTTTGTTTGTATTATCCACCACCCCGTAACGCTACCCTTCACGTGCTCACGCTGTTTGCTCTCGACGACTTCACAATAAAAGTCCAGAAAATTGTGGAATAACGGAGGCAGCGCTCTGGTCTTTGCTGCCGCAATTTGCATCTTGGGTTGCGGCTGCAAACTTTACAAAGAGCGAGATTTATTTCGAACCGGTTTAAACCCCCTCACCCCCCCAAGATTCATTAATCTGACCGAAATGCAAGATTTCAACAGGGTGGATGGAGAGGGGGAAAAAAATCCATTATTGTGCTTTGTGAAACATAACAAATGTATTGATGGTAAGATTTATTTTTTCTCTTTCTCTCCCTCTCTCCGCGGTGTGGTTGTGCTGGTTAAGGCTGCAGCTGCCTTCGTCTCTTTACTGTCAAATAAAAGCAAAGAGATTTACGCTGTAGCCGTATTGATGCACGGTAGTAAAGACGCACCGAGTTTTTTTTTTCATTCGTTTGCTGGTTTACGCAGTTCCCAATTTTTGAATGCACGGCGCTCAGTGCATGCATAATGTTATCGCCAGTTCGACTTGTATCCCTCTTAGAAATCAAACGCGCATTGTTTAGTGTGACGAGTGCAGTGGCATAGGCAAAACAGCGGCCCGTGGGCCAGTCCCAAGTTGAATGAAATATAAGCAAGACTACAATGATATATAATTTTTCCAATATTGTATTGTAACATTAAATGTGATGGACATTGTTTGCGATGCTGTGTGTTCTTTCCTTTGTACGGGAATGTCATCGTGATTATATCTAACCCATTTATTGTGGGTGCAATAAAGAACATTGCTTGGGGCTTATGAATCATGTTGCTCTTAATTATTTGATGAGCTATTATATATGCCAAGAATATGTGCGAGCATTGCCCTTTTGGCAGATGTTTTCTGCGAACGCCCGTCGAGTTGTATGATTCACAAATAGCGGAGGCCGTGTTATAATTATCGTTTTTTTTTTTATTGTGCTATTAACTCCCAAGCAAATAAACTCAATTTCATTATAGCCTTTAGCGTGTAATGTAATGTGCGAACAATGGGGTTAACGTCAAGTAATACCGTTAACCGGCACATAATGGGTGCCTGACTGCACGTGATGGAATTGCAATGCAGGTTACCCAAGTGGCCCTGAGGGTGCCCCATGTGGTCGGGTCTTCTGTAGCCAAGCAGGGTTGAGCCTGGTCAGTGCGTGGATGAGCGGCCATCGGTCCATAACCAGGTGTTGTAGGCAAACGGCTGCGCAGGCTGTGCCTGGCAATGGCAGTACGGGGATGGGTGTGATCGACGGATAGGTTTGGGCCCACTCGCAGGGCCGAGTCTGTGGATTGCATGTATGTGTGGGTAAGCTTTCGATTGTTACTCCATCGCACTTGTGGGGTTTTCTCTGGGTACTACGAATTCCTCCCAAATGCCAAATATCCCCACTGCGGAACCCTCCTGAAAATAGGATTCGAGACCTGGAGTGAGAATTTTTTTTAGAGGTTAACAATTGGCGTATGTGTCAAACGTGCACTTTGCCACCCGTGGTGAAGTATGGTCATACAACCCCCGATCGCCGACATGGTGTGTAGAGAGAGAGGTCTCCAGCAGTGGATTGACAGGGCTGTATATTGTTGGAACTTTTGTTTTACTGGATTTCTCAAGGCCTATTTACGAGCACTTGTCAACAAATTGTCAGGGCAACACTTCATATTGTATGTCTCAATGATCATTTGTGTCCATGAAAACAAATGATGTGAGTGGTGAGTGGAAAAGCATTTGTGATGACAAACTGGTGATAATATTGCGTTTGTGTTTTGCTCACGTGGATGTGACTCATGGGTTTATTGTTTGTACTGGTTTATAGTTTATTTTTAAAAACGCCAATGTTATATTTGTAATGAGCACAGCTGGAATTCACGCTCGGAGAGGCACGACAGACCACAGAGAAGCGGGGAAGGAAGCCAAAATCGGCGTCAACATTTACCCAAAGTCCGTGGTCCTATATGGATGGAGGACATACTCTTTTGGTCTATGAATTCCTGCACTCGCGAAAATTTAAAGTCTGGATGGTGGACGCTGGCCAACTCGACTGATGGCTATTCTGTACGTGTGGGAGGAAATCATCGGAGCGGAGTCGCCGCATAAAACCCACGCGCACACGTGTGATGACAGTAGGGGTGGTTGACACTTAATATCCATACAGATGGAGAACAGATGAAAATTCATCTACTTGCTGTACTGCCATCGTACACTGGAAAGCCACAAATGTGCGTGTGATTCACCAACCCTCGCCTCCACGGTGCTGGGTTACAGGCGGCGCGTGCGTCTGTCCATCCATCCCTGTGGCTCGCACTTTTACGCGTGGCGACGGCGCAGCTCCTACTCGAAGGGTCGTTATCATCATCGTCGTCACCACCACCCCCTCCGAGCGAGCGATTTAACAAAGCGTCACCTTGGCACGCCGCTTAAGACGACAGCGCGGCGAGAGAGAGAGAGACAGCGTCGCGTAATTAAAGGCATTCTATCGACTGAGCCCGTCAAACGCTCGGAGCTCCTCGCAGCTCTCCGCATGACGAGATTCGCCTTTTTGAAAAGTTTGACAGGGATACGCCAGGGTCTTCTTGTTAATGCGACGTCTAATGGACTTTTCACGAAGCGCAATTGAATGCCGCAGCGCCGACGGCGGCGGTGGTGGTGGTGGCGTGTCTTTAAATGCCTCCACGTCCGTCAGTAAGTTTGTCATTTAAAACGAAAGACATGTGCGCGTTATGCGCACGTGTTGGTTTAGATTTGTCTTCTGCTTCTCTCTACACGCAACTGCGTCTGTGCGCAACGTTGCCACGAACGATCACATGCAGTGTCTGGCGCTACTGATAGCTGGTCGGTAGCGCTGTGTGGCTTAGGGGTCGAGTTAATGTGTACGTATGTGTGGTGATTTCTTTCGTACCGTACGTAGCCAACCGTGCTAATCGGAGGTGCAGGAGAGAGTCGGCATTTGGGTCGTGTGTCAGTCCATGCCTGTACGAGCAGTCCCTACATGAAAAGCAATGCGTGTGTGTCTTGTTGTGGGGAGCGGTGGTGCAGCGGTTAGCGCGCTGCACGACGAACACGGCTACCGAGTTCGATTCCCGCTCACGGCCAACACCGGTGACGATTGTCTGAACCGGTCCAGGGCCTCCCGTAGGTCGACTTAGCCTCAAATGAGTACCTGGTGCAGTGTACATATTGTAACTGGGGAGACAAAGGCGGCCGGGCGTGGTGCTGGCCACCCCCTCGTGTGCCGTGCTCGCTAACAGCACTTGCCCCAAAAGTATGTTAAGGCTATACGGGGGATTCATACTCTTAGGTTTTTCGGTAAAGTCACGTAGGTAAAAAATACATAATAAGACTTGTGTTGCCTCCGAAACGTCGTGATTTATTATTTTATTTTCTATTATTATTTCTATTATTTTGTATTATTTATTTTTTACCTACGTGACTTTACCGAAAAACCGAAGAGTATGAATCATTGCAGTCACGAAAGCTTCAAATCTAGAATTATACGGGGGATCTTTGTATTGTATTTGTTGGCTGAATTGTAATTCATGCTTGTCACAGCCGTGTGCTCCTGGCTTGTTCAAAGCCCTCATGGTGAGCCCTTATACAACAATACGTTGACCTGGTAATGTACATAAACAACATCCACGCTTTTTGTATGAAAAGTAACAAATTAGTGGTCACGACGCTTTTCTCAAAATCCATCTACTTGGTTTCCAGATCGCCTCTTATGAGTGCTCAGGGTGGGGAGGGGCTGGGTGGGGAGGGTGGGGATGGGCTGGGTGGGGTGGGGCTGGGTGGGGTGGGGCTGGGTGGGGTGGGGCTGGTCACCCCGTGGTGCCCTTATAAAACTCAACGTTTAACCTACTCACGCCGGCTTGTGCCCGCCCTCACAGTCGGGCATATTTGCGGAATACACCACACCGCCGTTGACCCTGGCCATTGACCGAGCAACCCTACGTTCCTCCCAGCTCCCTCCGCAGAAATGTGTTATATCAAGGACCAGCGTCTCGTATTCACCGCATTTGCATTGCGGCAATTGAAATAACCGAGTATTTATTTTTTAAACCCGAATAAAAAAAATCAATCCTCGTCCGTTTGGTTACCCGCCCCCGGGTCTGACCATCACGAACCACGGCGGCGTTCAGCACGCGGCGTAAACACATCCGATTAGCACGGTGTGGCGACGTACGGTAGCAAAAGAGGTTCAGCGTACATCGCGTACACACAAGTAGACGGCACCGATTTCAAAATAACAAAAACCGTCGGCCGCGTGTACAACTGCCGTAGCCACAGTCTCCGTAGCCTGCAAGCAAAGCAAAGCCTCGCCGTGGTGGAGGGAGTCGTAGCCTCCGCGTGATGTGTGGAGCCCTCACGAAAGTTATTTTCGCCGCGTCGCCGATGTAGTCGAGGCAGTAAATCACGTTGACGGAGCAGATCAATCTTTCTTTCTTTTCGCTCGCAGTTATTTTCTTGCGTTGGGTAAACGTCCGCGCGTTGCAATTGCTGTTCGCATCACGGTTGAGCAAAGAGAGTAGGTGTTATTTATTTATATATTTTAAAAAAATGTGTTGCGCTTTTCCCTTCCACGTTGGTCCCAGACGTCCATCGATGATGGCAGTCTGAGCGACGGCTGGGCTCAAATACAAATGACCGTTTCTGGGTGTCTCGGGTGACAGGGCAGGCTGCGTGTCCCATGTGGTGGCTGTCTCACCAGCCGCTGTCACACAGCAGCACTCAACACGCTGCTTAGCAATTATCCGTCGTAAATATTCGGCTCATTGTCAGAACGCCGATAACATGTTCTCAGCCCCTTGGCGATCGACCGCTGGATGGTTCGGCTTCACCCATGGCACACTTCACCCATGTCACACTTCACCACGGTACGTGCCCGTTTGGTGGTGACGAGCTGGTGAAGTTGGGGAGCAGGCAGTGTGGTGGTTAGTACGCCGCGCTACGAAACCGGTGATTTGAGTTTGATTCCCGCTCACGGACAACACGTTCTATTTAATTAAATAGACTTTTTAATAAATGTTTTCTCCTTCAACATCAGAGTGCAGCGCCACATTGAATACGCACTACAATGACAATAGTTTAAAGCGATTTAAAGCATGTTTTATTTTCAAAATGGAAATATGGTTTTGGGGGGGCAGAGCTTTGTGACGTCATATTTGAGGGTGGTCTGACTTTTTGTGACGCCGAATGACGAGGGAGAGGGGGGTGGTCAAAAATCGTCCAAAATCGCGTGACGTCATTTATGGACGGCCCCTAATAACAGGTGTATATATATAAAGGACAATAAGGCGAGATGGATGTGGATGGATGCCTAAATAATTCCCCGAACAGTGTTCCGGCTGAAATTAAGGCATTCCTTTACAACTATTGTTCACATTATTATTCATTAATTCTAGATTTGAAGCTTTCGTGACTGCAAGGATTCATACTCTTAGGTTTTTTCGGTAAAGTCACGTAGGTAAAAAATAAAATAAAAATTAATAAAAGTAAAATAAAAAATCACGACGTTTATTATTCATTGCTACAAATCTGTAAAATCTGCGCGGCCTCTTGAAATGATGTAAAGGGACGTTATAAATTCAGATCCGCTCCTGTGAAATGCTTTGCAAGCAAAATAATTAATGGAACGTCTGTGAGCTCTGTGGCTGATGGTACGAGCGGAAAGCAATAGGCTATCTATCACTCAAAAACAAAGGATCCCTATATAGCTTTTCACACTCTGTTGGGGCAAGTGCTATTAGCAAGCATCTATGAAGGGTGGAACGGCAC